TTTCTTCGCTCGCTTCCACTGCTCCTAATATCACTTTTTCCAAAAGCAGAACCAGGAGGCATGCCATATGGCATGGGAGAAGGGACTGCACCAGAAGCAGCCAGCATACCATGAGTTGCCGCAGGCACAGGTGGCACAGGTTGAACAGGAAGTGGAGGTGGAGGAGCTGGAGCAGGGGGTGCAGCGGCAGGTTCAGGGAGGGGTCTGGGTAAAATATGCTTCAACCGATTGTTCCTGTAGTTCTTCCAGAAAAAGAATTGCTGCCTATGTGCTAACTCCTAGAAGTTCCATGTATCAACAAGTGAGTTGAGAATTATCCTTGAACAAAGAAATCAATTTTATGCAGATGTTATGCTAATATATACAGATTGCTTCCGACTACAAAGATTATAAGAATTTATTGTTAAAACCAATCACTTTTAACTGGTATTCCAGAAAAGGTCTCCTGGGGTACATAGAATATCTGTGCTAGTTCATCACTAACTCAAAACGAAAAAAAGACTATTTGAAGGTCAACCAAGTGTCAGTCACATCAAATGCTTACAAATCCAGGAGAATAAACCTTGAGCCAGATGCTACCAACATGCATGCAAATATAAAGCATCAAGAAAGATATTTCTGTCATGAAATGCCATCTTGCATTTATATTATGAGTATATATAACCAGGAGAAATGCAAATCTCAATGAGGCCCTAATCATTAGAAAAGATTTAAATAAAAACAAGATACATGTGAATTGACAAGATCACGCATTCAGTTGATCTCAAATATCTATTTACCACATAGAACCAATGTCAAGATTGAAAAAAATCAGAATGGCAAGAAAGAGGGTGATCAGAAAGCCAAAATCAAACCTTGTTGCTGGGATGTGCCATTGCATTGCGGAAGTTTGCATTTTGGAGAAGTTCAAGAAAATATAGGCAATGAGGATACCTGAAACCATTCTAGTTGGTGAGTATGTTGATCAAAAGGCAAGCCAAGAATGCTAGAAAGAGAAAGCAAAATATTTCATAACAGTTCATCAAAAGACTTGTCATTCACTTTATCTCAAATTTGAAGTTCGTTGAACTGAACAAAGCCTGAAGCAATATCAGTCATACTTTTAAGAGAATCGCTTACATTATAAATTTCATGTACTCTGGTCGTTGCCAGTACAATAGGTACTTCAAATAGCCAATAAAAGCTTCATCTTCAAAATGGCGATTCTGAGCCAAATCTACATATTATGGAAAACAAAGGAAAACCCAACATCAGGGGAAAATTCAAGCAAAAACACTAGTAAACACTAGAGTATCCTTGCATTAAAAGACAAAGATGTAGGCAAGAAAGGACACTCACGCACACATAAAAACACACAAAACTAACACTCTAATTAACACTCTCCTTCTCCACTAATCACTATTTTAATTAATTCGAAACATGAACAAGACAGGATCAATGCATGATCCACCAATACATTCAATCGAGCTCGAGTTTATTCTTAACCAGCATTAGAGCAAGCAAATAACACGAGGCTAAACTTGGGCATAATTGAATCGGAATCCATTTAATAAGTTCTCAACAAGAGCATAAACTTTCTATACAAAAACCCCACGAATTCCCCACTTTGGGTACAAAATATGCAAACTTTCAAGAACCCAGCAAAAAAGAGAACACTAACAACAACTGGAAAAACAAAAAGGAAAAAGAAAAAAAAATAATGATCTTACAATGAATGTAAGTGGGGTTAGCAAGACATTGAACAAACTCCAATTCCAGCAAAAACCGTTGTCTCCCATCATCTGGGTCTTTATATATCTTCTTAGGCCTGGAAATTATTTCAAACCCACAAAAGATTAGAAAAAACTAAAGAAACCCGGTTAAAAAAGAAAACAACAATAATACTTTGAGTGCATATCGAGTACTTACGAGGATGGAGTTTCGGGGTTATTTTCGGCTTCTTCAAAAGAAGCCATTGAAGTTTTTGCTAAAAAAAAGTATTTGGACAAGTAAGCATGGAAGACAAAGTTTAAAGTTTTCGAAATTGAAGGAGGTACGAGGAAGGCTAGAAAATTACCTGAATTCGAGATCACTTGAGAGTTTAGGCCTTGGATTTCAAGGGAATTGAGAGGGAGAGGGAGAGGGAGAGGGCGTGGGAGGAGCTAACAGGCAAGTGGGGTTTCATGAGCGCTAGAGGGGCTGGGCTAGAGCATGTGCATCAACCCAAGGACGTTGGGTTGAGTTTCTGGGAAGGTTAAGAGTTTGGTCCAAATCCAAATTCCATGGTTCTTAGCTCGCCCGATCCAATTAAGCTGGAGACAATGCAAAGTGTATATAGGCTTTGCCGCCGGGTGCATCCGCATAAATTTTGCTAATCCATCGTAAAATAATTGTGATATCCACAATTTTGAAAGTGCTGAGTGGTATTATTTTATTTTATTTTCTGATTTTTTTTAATTAGCTTTAATATTAATCAAGATTCATTTTTTTCTTTAAACAATTGTGAGAATATATCTCCAACATCAACCCAATATCTCCTTAACTACCATTATTTAAATGATCATGCTTCTTAGTTCTTATCAGGTTTATGAGTCAAGAAAGTGTAGACTGCTAAAAAGCCAGAATTATCCAATAATTTTTTGCAGTCTTTATAGACACATGAAAAATACAATTGATTTTACAATTATTTAAAACTGGCAATCAATAAAAACTAAATTGTGATAGGTTCTTACTGTGAAAAATATAATGCAATCCCTCTTACATTTCACTGTGAATTCATTCAATAATTTTTTTTCATTTTAGTCGTGATTTTTCTTAATAATTTTATCTTTTTATAGTCAAGTTAAAAACTAGTTTTTTTCCCATTTATTGATGAAAGGTAAGATTGAAGGTAAGACCAGAGAAACTAGGTAATTTTTTCAAAATTAGTGTGGAAAGTTAACTTGGTTCTTTTACTTTCTAATTGATAGATTTTTTGGTCCTCATAGTTTTTTAACATTTAAATTTGATCAACAACAAATTTTTTTAGTTTTTTAGTTCATATTCTGAAAAATAAAAAAGAGGTAAAAAGTTATCAGATTCTAGTGAAAAAAATCTTGTTTGATACTAATTTCAATCATTAAAATGATCGATTTTGGTATCAATTTATTTCATTAAATGAGAAAAGTTTCATTAATATGTTTTTTCACTTAATATTTGCATGAGAAAATAGATTTGATATTAGAAAGTTTTTAGATTTAATGTTGATTATTTAGTTTTTACCCCAAAATTTTTAGTTATTTGAAGGCATGATAACGACTCTCTTGATTTATAAATACAAGTTGCAAATAACATATCATCTATCAAGTTTATTTAAAAAAAAAAAAAGGAAATTAAAGCCAAAACATGGTGGAAGGTAACATGACTAGGCTTTTTTTTTTAAAAAAAAAAGATCACGGATGTTGGGCCTTGGCCGGTAAGGTAATGCTCTTGATTGTTTTTTTTTTGGGTGTTATTTAATGCCTTTCTAATATTTAAACTTAAAAAAAAATCATTTTTTTGTTATTTAAGGGTTTATTTTTCTTATTTAACTTTTAAAAAATAAATCTTTTTTTTTAAAAAAAAATTCATCATTTGTTATTTAAATGTTTCTTTTTCTTAATCAACTTTAAACACATGATTGTTATATAAATAAATAAAAAATAATCTGACTAATAAATAACTTATTAAATCTAATGGAGTTAACTTAGTTCACTAAAGTTTTTTTTTTACATGTATTTCAATTAAATAGTTTAATTATTAATTTTATCTTTTAATATTAGTTTGATTTAAAATTAATATTTTTAATTTTTATATGATAATTATAATATTACAAGTCAAGTGATGAATTTAGCCGGTTAATTATACTGGTTGATTTATACTGGTTGATCCATTATGATCCGTTATAATACCAACTTAATATTCCAAAAATAAAATTTTTTAATATATTACTATTTTAATATTTTTAAAAAACTGTTCAATATGCATTTGATTTTAAATTCATGATTTAAAAAAAAACACACATTAGCAAGAAACGAAAAACCTCAAGAGACTAGTTATATCTACCGGGTAAGCTTATTAAGGTTTTTTGGGTGATTTAAGGGGGCCAAGTACATAAAAGAAATTGCATTCTGCAAACTTGGGCCCGTGCTCCCGACAACCTGGTTCAAAGGAAAAGGGAACGGTATGACTCAACGGAGCAGGCAACCATTCCCAATGGTTTACTGAGCAGCTTTGTTTGTATGGATCAGCAATTCCTGCACCATAATCCCCGCCGCAACTTTTAATCAATGAAATTGAATTTCATAGATTAATACTGATGCAGCATATTCAATTGATTGAAGCTCTGCAAGACCACAGACTACATTCTGGATCAGAAGAAGCATCCTGTGGGCGGATTAGAAAACAATAATCTTCACAAGCGTATAAATCACCAGACTACATGGCAATTTCCCAATTCCCATGCAACAGTCTGATTCCCACATCATTAAGTTATACAGTTAATGGAATAAATTTTTATATGAAAAGGCCAGGAAGTAAGAGAATAAAAAATGGATGCCCAAAACATCAGGCACAATGCATGCCTCACATGGTAAGTTGCCCTGATCATTAATGTGAAAACTGGGTAAAACGTGGCATCTATAAATTGAAAAACAAACGACTTGAGTTATATAAAGTATAAAAGCATAAATGTCAGTTATGAATCCTCCAGTGTTTCAACTCAACCTCACCGAGAAACTCAAACCGTAGATGGAGTCACAAGTACATGAAAATCATTTCCATAACATTTTGCGCGGTTAGCACCCTTTGTCCATCAAAGGCAAGTAAATGTAGGATTCAGTGAACATGAATCCAGAACTCTTGCAAGCTATTGATTGAGAAAAATCTGGCCAGCCTTTGCCATGCAAATGATGATACACTAGTCTTTCTGTTCCTCAAGTAACCACAATGCTGATATGGTCGTCACCAACTGTCTTCACACTACTTGGCCACTACTAACAGAATACATGTTCCCTAGTATGGCCTGTACCGCATAGGTCTCCTGAACCTTGGAACTCTTCTGCACACAAGATTATTAAGGTTAGTACTTCTTAGGTCTCCTGAACCTTGGAACTCTTCTGCGCACAAGATTATTAAGGTTAGTACTTCCAACAAAACGAATGATCACATCTCCCCCATAGATGCAGCTGGTCATAATTAATAAATGAATTGCTGGAAATATGGAAAACTAATATAATGCTACAGAAGGTAATCTATAGCACAAAATGCACCAAATGAAACCATAAACATGGTGGAAAGTAAACAATATTATAATAAAAGATCCTCTGTTGAAAAGCAAGCCATGGTTTGAAAACCAGGCCTCAATCCCTAATTAGCCGGGGTTGGCTATATTCCACGCAATCCTTAACTTGATGTTCTATGAAGAAATTAAATTTTCTTTTGAGGCAGAGGAGGTTACTTTCAAAGGTTGCTAGACAGATGACATCCACCACTTTTAATATTGGAACATTACAACCATGTCTAGGTGGGGAACTGTAGAGTTTCTACCTAATCCAACCATTAGTGGAAAGGACTCCTGCTAACTAGTGAACAGCTGTAGTGGCCAACCTAGCAGCTAGACTTCTCATCTCTCAATGCTTGTAAAGAGGTCACATTTGAGCAGTCAACCATCTCAAATGTATGAAGAGAAAAAATTGCAACAATAAAAAAAAAAATCATAAAAGAGAACTATGGTATATATCACAAAGTAAACGAATAAAATTTTCTAATCTTCGATCAAAGGACACATGATTTAGCATCCGCTTAAGGTGAGCAAGGATTTGTTATACTAAACAACCTAATTGTATTAATTAATCACTTCATAGGTCCAATAACACAGTTTGTAACTTCATAACAATTAACATTAATATCTGCTGCCTGAAAAAATCCAAAACTAATACCCCTGCAAGGAAGATGACAGAATGAAAAAGTGGACTGAGCAGCATATAACTTGTTAGAGAAGGTATGAAGAAAAGGACACTGTTTAAAACCTCCTACCCTTTTATTGGGTCAAATACATCTTAAATCTCATAATGCTGTACTGCTAGAAAATAATCAAATATTTAATTCTGAGAAGAAAAGGTTACAATGAAAGGAATATCAACTAGTTCAAATATCAAAGAATTATCTGGTGGAAGAACAGTCAAGACATGAAATATGATTATAAAGACAAGAAATATTTTAGGTGCTTACCCATAACCATATGCAGGATAGAAGGGAGCTGGCATGAATGGCCTCCGGGACCTGAACCCATAAGGGCTTGGGCGCCTTCCTCGATATTGCTTCATTCCAGGAACATTAGTTCGCTTAGCAGAGACCTGAGCGAGAATCATATCAGCAATTACAATCATATTGGAAACTTGGGAACTAGTAATTACTGATTATAACAAGGAGTGAAACGCACTCCAAATGAATCAGTAAAGTAACAATCCTTTACAGTGGAGGTCCTAAAATTCAAACTCTTCTTTAGGGAGAACTTTATCAGTATAGGTGTAAAGAAGGGTAAAAAAATAATAAAGTAAAACATAAACCTTTAACTGGCGGCCATGAAGTTCAGATTCATTTAACAAGACAGCATTCTGAACAGCATCAACCTCTATAAACTCAACATAAGCAAACCCCTTTGGTTGACCAAACTTGTCAGTCAAAATTGTCACTCTGTTCACAGTTCCACAGGATTGAAAATGCTGCTGCACTTCTTCAGGGGTACAAGAATAATCCACCTGATGTTAAGAACACAAGTAAACAGCAACGATGTTTTCTGTCAGACAAGGTTCTTTAGATTGTTACTAATTGAAACATGGAATACGCAAAAGAATGCAACTTTCCACTACAAAACAATACAAATCTAATTAATGAGAAACAGACAAAATAAATCAAATGCAACTAATAAGAATTTGAATTCACGAACCAGGATCCATGACACCAGACCAATATCTAGAAGGTGTGAAGGAGAACCAAAGGTTCATGAATGAGAGAAAAGATAAAACAAAACATGAAGTACAATTCACTGAGCAACTAAACTTGCATGTTGAATGGCATCAAGTACCCAAGTTTTGAATCTACATTGTATTCTCCCATCAGAACTTCTTAATACATCAAATCCTCACTTGAATGCTTTATATGAAATACAGTTAAACCCCATCTATTTATCATCACAAGAAAGTAAGGAAAAAGACTAAGTCTGACACTGCAAAATATATAAACAACAACAGAGAGAGAAACAGCGGGGAAAAAATTTGACAGGTCATACATGTACACATTCATGTAAAACATATAAATATGACAAAATAAAGAGAAAAGGATAGTAAACCCTCACATTACCAACATAAATGGATCGTGAATCCACCTCCTCCTTTTCAGCTTGAGTCGCAGAAGCACCTGGAGAATCTTCACACATATCCAACAGAACAAGAGAGCACATGAGTTTTTAACAATAAAACTAAAATTTGGCACCAGGCAACATAATATAAAGTATACAAAACTTTACTCTTTACTTCATTACAAATCACAGTACATATAATCATCCACACATAAAACATCCCCAAGCCACCTCAAATAGTCTCCAAATCAAACTAACAAAAGAATCCCCAACACCCGACTAAAGGGGGGAAAATCACAACCACGATGCAAAAAACACTTCAACAAATTAATACAAAGAACAAAAATCGACCAAAACTACAAAATTAATTTTCATTCAGCAACAAATAAAAAAATACCATAAATTTTCAGCACCCTGATTGCCTCAACTACATCTCAATCAAATAATTCAAACAAAAAAAAAATTGAGATATACCTTGAACAGCTCCCATTTCTTTCTCAACCTTAGCCTGCATTTCGCGTAGAGCACCAGCTTCTTCTTCGATCTCTTTCAACCTTCTCTTCATATCCTCTAAATCCTATCCAAGCCAGAAAAATACTTTCAAAATAGAGTAAAATGTCAGAGAGATATTATTATTAATATCGAACTGACCTTAGAGTTAGGGTCTTGGTACTCGTCTTCTTCAGCTCTAGACGACATGTCAGCATCGGCATCCATCTCTCCTTCATCGGGGATTTCTCCACCGTACACCTCGTGCTCGTGCTCATCCTCTTCGTGATCGTGAAGGTGATCCATTGATTTTTTTTTAATTATTAGGGTTTTATGGAAAGAATTTATTAGGGTTTTATTAGGGTTTCAATTTGGGGGCAAAGAATTAGGGATTTGAGAGGCCGGGGTCTGCGTGCGAGGGATGGATGTAGTGACGTGCTTGATATTTTTCTCTGGTTAAGGGAGACAGGTTAATTTGTAATTCTGTGAATTTAAAATGGGTGTTTTTGGACTTTAAGAAGATCCAATAATGAGGTCCAGCTACAATTGGGACAATTAAATTGCAAGCGCTCAACGGAGATAATTTTTGAAAATAAATTTCTCATAAAAAAGAGGGAAAATGAAATTTGTTTATTTGAAGATATTTTAATGGATAAGTTTCAATTAAGAGTTTCAATTATTATTAATGAGACAAGTGGTTTATAATTGATAAATTAATATTTTTATCTTAAAGTTACATTTGTTTTACATTAAATATATTTTCATATTTTTTTTTAGTATTTCAAATTCCTTGAATGTTAAAAAAAATTAAATAAAAAATAACTTGTATATCTTTAAATATTTCATAATAAAGCTTTTTACAAAACTATTTTTTCATTAAATTATACTATTGTCTTTCTAAAAATACCAAATAAATTATTTCAAGGTAATTTTTATTAATATTATGTGCTTGGCACCGTGGTCCAATTATATTTAAAAAAAAATTATATATTTTAAATTATTATTTTTAGGTGTTTTGATATGTTGATATTAAAAATAAATTTTAAAAAATAAAAAAATATTATTTTAATATATTTTTAACTAAAAAATACTTTAAAAAATAATTTTTATTATTATTCCAAATATCTCTATTTTTAAAAAAACAAGTCATTTAATTACTCAAAACAAAAGAAACCATATCACTTCGACAACTTTCCAACATCAATGAATAGAAAAGGCTTCATTTTTCAAATGGTCAAGGATATTCTAATATTCTTTAATTGTTTCCTTATATGAAAAATTATTCTGAAAAAAACACACTAAAAATTAATTAATATCTAAATTATATAGCTATGGACTTAAAAACCACCTGACAATTTCTCCTGTTGGCATAAATTTCATGGAAATAAACAATCACAAATTAACTTCCTATGCCAGCAACGAGAATTTGA